CAGGAGAAGTTGGGAGCCACAGCTGGAGTGGTGGCAGTTGACCCCAATCTGGGGGCTGCAGTGACATCGGTCATCACTATCATGGTGCCTTTTGGTGTGAGGTTCCAGTTGGGAGTGCTAAAGAGTCGCTCACGAGCCAAGACCTGTCAAGGAAGAGAACCAAAAAGCAATTGAACCCAGCTGAAAGGGCTGAGGAGCATAACAGTAACAGTACTTTGCATCTCTCACAGGTGGCAGTTGACCCCAATCTGGGGGCTGCAGTGACATCGGTCATCACTATCATGGTGCCTTTTGGTGTGAGGTTCCAGTTGGGAGTGCTAAAGAGTCGCTCACGAGCCAAGACCTGTCAAGGAAGAGAACCAAAAAGCAATTGAACCCAGCTGAAAGGGCTGAGGAGCATAACAGTAACAGTACTTTGCATCTCTCACATGCCTTTCACCAGGCTGCTCACATGCTTTACCAACCAGACCTGGGTAAGTCTGCCACTGCCAGCCCTCATGATACAACAAATTACACGGATCTTGGGAACCTCTCTACCCCTCACAACACAGCCTCCCCGAGATCCTGAAACGCTGCCACCGCCATCATCACCACCCTTCTGCAATAAAAATATTTAAGAACAGGATGAATACGGTGTTCACCTGGGATCAGAAGGAAGTACTTAAATCATCCATACTGGAAGATGATGGGCACACCTAAACTTAACAGCTCTACTTTCCACCAGACCGCTGGCTATTCTGTCATGCCCTAGTCTTATGGTTAGTCTGCTGGAGTCTTATGTCTTACGGTTTCATCTGGAAAGCAGCAGAACAAGCGGCAGCAGGCAACAAGAACATGGGCCACAAAGTGTCACTGCACAGCAAGGGGGAAAGAAGAGCATCCTTATTCCTCCAGCTCTCCAATCCCCACCTCTCCTACTGCCATTTTAAAAGCCACGCTCAGCCCAAAGCACCTTCGTTGGAAGGATATGTGCTGAAAGCTCTCCTCACTAGAAAGCAGAGCATGAAAGTGATGCTTTTATCAAACATTGCATGTCATGGTACACTTAGCCAGCCTGTCGTTAATTCTAACTTAACATTGTTTTCTACATGACGTGAATTTAACCTGATTGGCTTTTAAAAGCCAGCTGAACCACGAAAACACACCCAGAACACAGGGATATGCAAGATTTCAAAGCAGCGTGACCCTTGGTAATTTTCCTGGATGAAAAGCTATGTTCTTTCAATGGAACAACTTCTTGAAGGTCTAAGATCTAAAGCAGCTATTATTTTCAATTTGGTTGTAAGCAGGCTGTAATGTGACCTCTGGACTGGGGGAAGATAATCCACTTAAACCAAGATCACAGGCAGGCAGCCATTGGTTCTATCCACCAGAAGAGCTGCTTCTGACGCGGTTGTAGTAACGACACGATTATCAAAGGGGACCAGCATAATATGGCCTCCTTCTGATAACCTCCTGATAATTTTCGGGATACCCTTTCTGTAAAAGCGCCAGACATAGCTCTTACGCAGGCCTTTAGTATCAGCAGATGGAAAGGGCTTTAGAAAGGCCAGTGATCCATCGCCACAGTTTACAGCTGCAGCAGGGAAAGACACATCTGTCATTTACTGACAGGTCACAGCAGAACATGGAGGAGCACATATTATCCACATGAACTGCCCCCCAGCCTTGCTTCACCTGAAGCCACAGCACAAACTGGGGAACAGGCAGCCGGTAAAAGCAGAGGGCCAGGAGCAAATCACTTCCACATCTAGACTAAGGCGTGCAAATGGCTCCCCAGCACATGCTTTTCCAAACCACGCTCTTGCACCAGGGGTGCATGGCGCTCGGACATTACTTACACCACATTCCACCTCATTGCTGCTTTCTTCCACAGGGGGAAGAGAACAAATACAAATCCTGGGAAATATCCAGATTTGTTTAAGCAGATATTATCTTACTATAGAGGGCGCTGCACAACTGTTATGGTTTAATTTACAAAATAATCATTAAACTTGGCTTTTCTTCATTCTTTCCAGTTGTTCTTTTTCCAAAATATCCCTGCTCTGAGTTACAGCTTTCTGTCCGTCTTGTTTAGACTGTGCTCTTGCCTAGAAAGGTTGGATCAGGTGATCCCTGAGGTCCCTTCCAAGCTGGTATTCTATGGTAAGTGCATGTACTGCAGGGTAACTCCTTCCCAGACTTCATCAGTACAGGAAATAGAACTGTTAAGGTTTGAGTTTCAAAGTATACACGCACACACATTACATTATCTATACTGTATCTAAAAATTTGGAGAGATGAAAGCTGGGTGGAGATGTCACAAGGTAGCAAGGTTCTTACTGCTTTGAGAAGAATGGGATTTCTACCCAAGCAACTTCTGAAGCGACTGAACGCTCACAGTGCTGAGAGTGCTTCCACTAAGCTCACAAAGGGCACATCTAAAATGAAATCAGAGCAGATGCACCTGTGGTTAACCTAGCTCTAAATAAAGTCCAGCCAGCTGCGATCTTGCACATCCCAGTGCACTTTGGGAGCTATGCAAGAGAGGAAGCTGTTAAGCCCTTCCTAAAGTTCATGGGGGAGAGGATCTCTACTGCAGACCACCAGTGGCAGGAGGGGCAGGACCTGGAGCTCCACGCTCCAGCTAATCAAACCACACCGACGGCACAGACCCAAATGCAGTGCCGGTAACGTCAGCAGAACTGAAGATCTGAAAGGGAACTCCTATGCCTCTCTGCACTCATTTTAAAAGAAGCTGAAACAGCAAAAAGTGATCAACAAGCATTTTGACGTGACAAGGGTTACGTATTCAGAAGCAAGGACACTTACAAGTTCAAGTTAATATGTAACCTTAACACTGCCCCCTTGTGATTATACATCAACTGTCATTAATTACATGATTAAGCATCATTCTTTGCCTAATCCCCTTTAATTCACAGAGTCATTGAAACTAATAACTCTTTCCAGCACTGTTTTCTGAAAGAAAATATACAAACTTTCTTAACCAGGGCTTCACTTCTCCTACCCCAAACCCCAATCCACCTCACCCATGAGCACCCCCATGTTCCTCAGGGTTGCCCCCAAGACAGCTTTTTAATTGCTTGATACTTTTTATTGGTTGTAAGCATCAGCTTGCAGGTCATTCTCCTTGCTAGCAAAACACGAAGGAACACTGTACTCCCGAATCTGCAAAATTAACATATACCTTCCAAATTATCCCTTCTAATCTCCTGAAGCCCCCCACACCATTGCTACAGTGACAGGTATAAGCAGTGCACAAAGCTATTATGGAAGACTACTGTATGCAGGAAGCTGAAGCTGTAAGAGCAATTCTGTACTATATTTAAGAAATAGATAATATCACAGATGATTGGAGCCTTAACCAGGTGAGTGGATTTCATCTCATTCACTACCAGCAGCTCTGAGTCTTCTAGCTCCTCTTCTGCCTTGTTAAAAAGATCATCCTGAGGGCAGGCTATGGCAACTCTCTTGATAGGCCTTGTTTCTGAGACGTCTCTTCGCCACTGTGCAACAGGACACAAGCCCAGCACACCATTAGAACAGGCTTCCAGCAAAGGTGGTGCCCAGGAGCAGGTCACAGCAAACACGCTGCCTTGACAAGCTACGGATTGAGCATCCTGGTGTAAGCAGCTTCTCTCTTACCCAACACAGTGAACGTGTTTGGTAATGGTTTCTTGGACACCTACCTCCGTCGCAGCCCATGTCAGTGCCACAGAATGTACCCTCCTGATTCCTCTCCCACCTGGGGAAAAGGGTCCCTTCCAACAGCCATAAAGCTATTTCATATTCACCTCGATTTTCTCCATTCTCCCACTTTGCAAGCCCAGCCATGCAACAACCTGACAAGGGTTAGGCTACTGGCCGTGATCTCTTTTCTGTGTACTCCTCCCAGCTGGCTATATTTCGCTGTTGTTTCTTGTGCATTTTAAGCTCCTCGGGACAACCATCTTTTTGTTCTCTGCCCATACAGTCCCCAGCACTGCGAGGTACCAAACCATGAGGAAGGCACTTGACATTACCATATGGCAAATTAGGGGCATCTAGAAACCTGAATTACCAATGCAATACAACCCAAACTAATGCATAATAAATTTTGAAGAGTTCCTTACTCTTCTGCCATATCCTGTTTTCTCTGCCCATCTCTTTCACCTCCACCCCATTGCTTCCATTTCAAAGGATAGTAAAGTTACTTGCACGCTTATTCTCCCTCTCTGGAGGGCTCTCCTAAATATATCAAAGGAAAACATTTCAACCTTTCTAAATTTCACTCTTGAAGCTTTCCCCATCTCCAACTGACTACCTTGCTCCCCCCGGAGGTAACCTGCAATATAGCACGTCCCAAACAGGACCAGCAAAACAGGCAGCCAGGAAAAGTACCAAACCTTGGAAATTGGAAACGCACACGGAAAAGTACATCTGGGTAAACACACAGGGCTTTCAGACGTGGGCCTAGGCATACTTCAGGATGGCCACAAGAACTTCAGATCAGCTGGTACGATTCTGGTATGTGGGTTACATCAGCTTTGGGCAGTGGTTAGGTCTGCGTGAGGTCTATACCCAACAACCCCAAATGCGGAAAGCAGAGATTACACCCCCATCCCCAACGAGCAACTGTTACGTGTTCCTGCCTAGATGCCATTACAAGTTTTGCACATTAGAGCAAGGCAGGACTTGTACTGCTAGGGCATTAGCTTAAACCTAGAACCAGCTTAAACTTGTCTAAAAGATCTTCGGAAAGCACTTTAGGAGTATTAGGGTCTGCTCTCAATGTAAGGAGGAGAAAATAAAATAAAGCAAAGCATGTGCTATTTATATCAAGGTTACTACCCTGATAAAAACCTAGAGATGCAAAACACTGCTACTGAGATTCTTGATAGGGAAGAGGCTCCAAACTGCCTGGGGACCAGTTCTGTTAAGAGACACCACACCAGTGTAACATTATTGGGGATGTGTCCACGGGGCCTAAATCCACAGAAAAACAGCAACGCAGTAATTCTCTGTCAGGAGCAGATTGCCATTCCTGCATCTTTTGGAAACAGAGGCCTTCTGTCTCTAACATTAACATGGCAGCTTCTTCCACCAAAAATAGAACGGTAAACAGAGGGGATGTGGCACAAGTGAAAACAAAAAACCCTCATTTTTGTCTTGCGTTTAAAGGCATGGAAAATGTTACCACTGAGGAGGAGCTATTTCTACATAAACAAACAGAAATACGTAAAACCCATTTCTGATGCAACAAAAGCAGTGTAAGAGGAGGGAAGAAACGTTCAAGCTTGGTCCTTCCCTTCCTAGGGTTACTTCTGAACACGTATTCAGTCACAGAGTCTAGAAAAGGAGGAG